AAAAAAAAAAAAAAAAAAGTATTGACTCTCTGAACTAAGAGATTCTACAACATTGTGTGATTAAAAAATTTTAGGAATCCTCCAAATAAAATCGAGGTGCCCTGGATATAATCACAGGCCAACACGACTAGAGTGCGATTGATATTAACAAAGAAAACTTCTCTATAAATAAATAGTACTGTAAATGAAGAAAGAGTGTGTTTCTGGAGAGAATATGGTCTTTCTGTGTATAGGAGAGATCAAAGACACAAAATTTGCCATTTGTGGCAACACTGTGTTCAGGAAAAAGTTGTTCCTGATCCCAAAAAGATCTTTTCCCATTGTGGAGAACGATTTCTCAGATAATTTTACCTGGATGATATAGGCCAATAAAGGACCCAGCTCTCCCCGCTGTTCTGATTCTATGCACCCAAAATATCTTCTTACTTAACATTTGGTTTTCCATATACATCTGGCTAGAGGGAGAGAATGTGCTGATAACCAAAAACAATTATCTAGCCTGCCTCATACTCATATTTCTCAATGTAAATTAATGATCCAAATGCCAGTTTTGATCCATAAACCAAAATCCCTACTCTTGTAAAGATTTTACTTACACTTCAACTATAGCTCTTATTTAATTTATTCTCCCACTTCATTGCTAGTTGTTTATATTCTTCTCTTCCACCAGAGTGTAAATACCGGAATAGTTCTATTCCTTTTTTGTTTTAGAGTTTCCTATGAAAATTCAATTTGATTCTTAAATGTTTGATGAGTAAATGAATGGGTGAATAATAGCATCACATGGCTATTCTCTTCCTAGTAAAGACTGAAAAGTACCTATAAAGATAGTACTTACTTTATTCTTTTCATTTTGAGTAATTTCTAATAGCTGGTCTATGTGCCCTTCATCTATGCATCTTTGACCTGCTAACTGAAATAGGCCAAAATCTTCTTCTTTAAAGTCTTGCTCTTCTAGGATTTGCTGGCAAAAACAAACAACAAATAAACATGCTTTGGCAAATAAAAATTCAAAACTACTTGATTTATTTTATCTTTCTGAAAAAAAAGTTTAAATTCCAGATAAATTGCACATAAGCATACGTATGAAAATTAGGATTAGCCTAGTAAATACTTTAATGAATGACCTTGAAATCCACTGTGCCAAATAAATCTGTGATAAAGATCAGTATTAAAAACTTAAAAGATTATTAAGACAAGTATGTCACTTGGTGAAACAATTCAATCTGCCTTCCTGCCCTCATGCTATTTATTCATAGGTCAAAAAAAAGTACTAAAGGAGATAAACAATCTGAATTACTGCAAATGTAATTAAAAATTATCTGTGCCCTTCTCATATTTTGAAAGGTATTTACTAAAAGGAAAAAAAAACACAAAAAATTACTTACACATCTCTTTATTATGGATTGAAGTTCTTCCACAGCCATTCCTCCTATTTTTCTTGGTTTTGATGCTGAAATGTACTAATATAAAAAGCACTGTTAACTATCTGTGTTATTAATTTAAGTATTATGTTTCATTCTGATAAATTACTAGTAAATACAAGAGAGAAAATGTTTCAAAGTTGAAATGTTTTTACTTAAGTATGTTAGCCTAAGAAAATAAAAACCTATTAAAGCAAACCAAACTTAAATCTTTTTAATTTTCCAGGAGCATAGTTCTGAAATACACTTGGAAAAAAAAGATCCTCTAGACCACTGCCAAGAGGAGTGCAAATATGGACTATAGAAAGAGCTTTAAAAAGGCGAAGAATGTCTTTTCTGAAACAATTTCCAAAAGATGGGTACGAAATCAGTGCTAATCATTATAATTTTTTATTTTTTAATTTCCCACTTGAGAAAAACTGGAGTCCACACAATTCACCCAGAGAGGGGAACGTTTAGATACCCTCCAGCCCAAGTGTGACTTGGACGTTTCTATGAGATGCACTCCCCAGACTAATCCTGGCGGTGTAGTCACTACATCCCACGGAGGCGAGGCGACCGGCGGTGCTCGGGGAAACACCGCAGGGTTCCTGCGGCCGTCGTTTCTCTGGCGGGAAGGCTCGGCCCCAGCCCCGCAGTGCGTGCGGACCGCATCCCAGGGAAGCCATTCCCCCCATTCCTGCTCGCCTTGGTGTTCGGGCCCCACCACCTCGCGTGCCTAGTCCACCGCAGCGGTGGGCCCTCCCCGGCTCACCGCCCGCCGCGTAGCCCCGCCGCACCGGCCCCTACCTGCGCCCACTTACCCGCAGGCCGCTAGCCCCTCTCAGCGGCCTCGTCCGCCGCTCGAGTGGCGCAGGCCGCGCTCCGGCCTCGCCCCGCCCCGGCTGGGCCCGCCCCGCGTGCGCGAGGGAGGGCGGAGCCTCGGGGGAGGCGCCAGGGCCCGTCTGACGCGAACTGCGCTGCCCATGGCTGACGGGCCCGGCTCCCCGCGCCGCAGGGCCCGGGCCCCCCGCGCCTCCCGAAATGCCGCAGGTAGGAGGGAGGGCCCTTCCCGCATTTGGGCCCTGAGAAAACCCGGACAGAGTTCCAGCCTAAGGCGCGCTGGGCGCTCCCGAAAGGCCACGCCGGAGGTGCAAGTCTCCAGAACAGGGAAGGCCGAGAGCTTCCCATCGCCGCCCCGCGCCGGCCAGACCGCCGCCTCTTTACACCCGCTTCCCAAGATTTCCCCCCGGGGCTGCCTCCGAGGAAACGGGCAGTAGGGAGCTGGGAGCCTAGCGCTGGGGTCGCCAGAGTGGGGTCAGCTAGGACAGCGCCGTCAGGCGGCGTACAGCTGGCCTGGAACCCAGCGCTGGCCCTCCTGCGAGACGTACTGCTTCTGGGGGTGTCCCGATTCCCTGAGGGATCGGCTTTCTTTCCCCGGGAGCGAACATTTGGGGGACTGGGAGAGGCTGCCCCCAGAAGTGCCAGATCTCAGATTTGCAGGAGTGCTTAGCAATGCATTATGACACAGGACAAAATTCAGTCCCCAAAGAGGTTACATTTTAACCAAGAAAAATTAGGAAATAATTAATTTACAGAAATAAACTGGATTCTCAACTTGTTTCATTTGATTTACAGGATTGGAAATGAAATGTGTGGCAAAGAAGAAAAGGTGGTCTGCAGTTTTTTGCAGGAATCTGCCCTGTAACCTAGTGTCCTCTAACCTAGTATGTTATGTAGACCTGACCTTATTTTCTGTCTTTAATTGTAGATACTACACAGACAAGTGCCTTGAAACAAGAAGATGCTTATAAAAGGTATGAGAACTACTTGAACAACTGCATGCATTTAGCTGTTTAGCTCATTAATTGAACCACTTTCAAAAACAGTAATGGATGCTACCTTAAAGAAAATTATGAGAGAGAAGTAGACAATCTGGGAAGCATTATAAATTATTATATGGACTGTTACATCCTTCCTCCAGGCTTTAAGAAAACCAAATTAGACACTTTTAGATTACTGGTGAAGGGAGGAGTACTTGTAGAAAGATGTTGTAACTCCAGGGGAAAAATTCTGGACAAATACCTTTGAAACCAAAAATCAATCAAAGAGGGAAATAAAGTTTATTTCTTACGAGTAGTCGTTCACTTCTGCTGCCCCGTGTCTCTTATGACCAGGCTGAGGAAGAACCCTTCACCCAACCTCTCCTGTCCAGGTAAGCCCAGCTTGCCTAGTAATTACCTATTGATATGGAGATGAACTACTCTCCACCGCTTGGAAACACCCATTGCAGGAAGATGCACTAAAGCCAGGCAAGAGATTCTGGAAATACGCAATTTTCCCCACAGGTGTCTATGGGACTAAACATTCCTGAATTAACTAGGTACTCCTTTTCTACCTATTCAGATATACTCCTTTAATTGCTTTATATGTCAGAATCTCCAGGAAACCTTTTCTCTTCTTTGTTTACCTCATGTCTGTATTTTCAACAAAAAGTTGTCTACTCTCTCTTGGTTTCTCTAAAGCAGGCAAGATTTATCGTCACAAAAGGTTTTTTAAATAGCAGTTTATTAGGATGATTAAAATACATATTTCTGTGATTTATTCTTTTATTAAGTATTGGCTCTGGCCTTAATTTATTCATTTCTTCAAAAATTATGTAGAGTGTAAGATATGCCAGAGCTGTATTCGGCCCTGACAGTATGGTTTTGAACTGAACTGACAGTTCCTGTGCAGTGGAACAAAGAAATACCAGTTAAATTATCATAAGTAAATGCATAATTACAAATTGTGATTCTGGGGAAGTAAAAAGTGAGCTGACTTCTGAAGACAAAGTAGTCATTAACCAAAGAGTTGTGAGGAGAGACCTCTGGACAGAAAGGTGGCAGTATGTGTGAAGCCCCCAAGGTAAGAAAAACCTAGTCGAAGGAGAGATGCTCATGATGATAGGCAGCTTTCTGAGCAAGGGAAGAAAGACGCATAGGAAAAGTTTATAGAGAGACAGGCAGGATTCCATTTATATAGTATCTGGTAGGCCTTGGTGAGAAATTCAGATTTTCTGAGTGCAAATGAGAAACCTTTAAGTAATAAAGTGCTAGAATTTAGGTTTAAAAAGTTTTAAGATGTCAGCGATGCTGATCATCTGGGAATGGAGAGATTGGATAGATTTGTGGTCTGTTTGAAGAGTATTTCCCTGTGGAGCAGCATGATACTACTGACTTGGCTTTAGGAAATAATTGCAAAACTAAAGTTTAAGTAATATTGATAATGATGGTAATTTTCAGTTCTTCTCAATACTGATGTGACCACAAACCCAAGGAGATATATTTTATTCTGAGGACTACAATGTGAGAAATGTAAGTAAACTGAAATATATTTTGAGCAGATTACCCAGGATGATGAAGCAATTAAAAATCCATGGAGGTAACCAAATAGTTGTGGAGTGAGTGATCATTTACAAACCTATTCCAACTGAAAAATACTTTTAACATTTCATCCAGCTGAATAGCATTAAGCCAGAAATTAAGGAACTTGGCGAAAATATAAAACAATTCCACTCTTCTCACTAAATTTTTCATTTAAAAATAATATTAACAGGTATGTTATTATTATATGAATTAATAAATGCTTTAAAATCTTCTCACTTTTAATCTGAATATGGTAAATATCAACAAATTTCATCCACATAAGAAAACATTTTAGCTTTACAAGTATAGAGTGCTGAGACCAGAAAGTTTGAGAACCGCTACTGTTTACGACATTCCTTGTCGTCATTTGGAACAGAGGGCAGCAGTGTGACAAAGAAACACTCTAAGTATCTGTCAATAAAGAGTGAGTGTGACTTTTATTGCATGTTGAGGTACTTAACAGCTTGAGTCAGCAATTCCTTAATGCAGGTTGTATACTGATCTTAGCATATGACATAGCTTTTATTGGTAGGCAGCAAAATGAGAAAAATAAAGAAAATAATGTTCAGAAAACTAAATACATTCAATATAAAGAACTACCTTTTAATCTGTGTTTCTTTTATTCTCTGATGTAAGAATGGCCTTTATAAAGTGTTAGGAGAACAGGTATTGCAAATTTCTTCTTGTTTGAATGTCTGTATTTGGCAAAAGAAGTGGTTGGTGATCCTTTGTCAGTCTTCCAAATTGCTTTTATAAAACATTGCTCCAGGCAGGGAATTAGAGTCAAAAGTCTTAGAGTCAATGAAGGTAGAGAGAAAAGGCCAGTACTTTCTAGGTTCAGATATGTGAGTCAAGTCAAGGTCCAGGAGGCCAGCAAAGATAGTTCTGGTAGACAAGTAGAAACCAGTGTAGGAAAGGAGCAATAAGTCAGCAAGATTGTTGGTATCTTTGGTCCTATGGCAGTGACTCTCAGCCCAGTTGCACACTAAGATTGTCTGGAGCACTTTTAAGAAAACTAATAACGAGGCCCCATCTTCAGAGATTCTGATTTAATTAGCATACAATTAAATGGGACCTGAGCATAGTATCTTTTTAAAAAAAATCTCCAGTGATCCTAACGTGAAGCTAGAATTGAAAACCACTATCCTAGGGCCATTGTCTGTTCAGATAGCCTCCGCTTTTATGTTGCATGATGTGTAGGGGCCAGCGAAGGCTGACAAGAGTCCCACTGGTGCCAGGACAAAGACCAGCCCTCATAGGAAGATTGTTTTCCTAAACCACACAGTCATATCAATTTAGTTATTTAATAAGAGTTTAAAACAAAAGTAAATAAATACTTCTTTGCAGATATGGTTCTGTCCTATCAAACTTAACTTTTGAGATTTAACATAAATTTTACTCTCAAGTTAAAACAGCTGAAGTTCTTTTCCTCTCTAATCTTTTTTGTACTTCTAATCTCTTCTATTTTCAGACGAAAAACCTCCCTTTTTATATACATGCAGGAGTGACTGAGAGAACATAAACTCTAACTTGCAGAAAGATTTCACCTTATTGTCTTTTTGTAGGAGTTTCTAAGTTCTTCCTTGTGCTCTGTGACCTAGAAATCAAATAATCCTTTTATTGCAGACATTGAAAAGTCGTGAATCAAAGTAACAGCATTAAAAAATACACACTTAATTTAAGTAGCAAAATATTATGTTAGTATTGTATTTAAAATATAGAGAGTTGACTGTGATAAAACAAAATAGAATAACTTTAAAATTTTAAATATATATTTTTTAATTTTAGGAAGGCAGAACTAGAAGCAGCTGTGAGAAAGAAGATTGTGTTTGAGAGAAAAGCTCTACATATTGTTGAACAGCTTTTAGAAGAGAGTATTACGGAAGAATTCCTAAGGGAGTGTGTATGTATTGACAAATTATTACTTTTGTAGTATGTTTAGATCTGTACAATATGAAACTTCCTTGAATTATTGAAATTGCTGATCTGTTCTCAGTTGCTAGATGCAGGTAACATGCTGTATAATTTGTGCTTTTAAAAATAATCAAAAGTTATGCATTCCTTGTATAATGACTTTAAGATGCACTAATATAAAATAGCATGCATATTTTACACTTTAATGGTAATTCTTTTAACATGTCTGCTAATCTCAGTTAATTTTCATCACCTTGCACTAATGATCCCAATGTCATTTTTCATATTCTGTGGAATTTGTCTTATTTCAAACTTCTTACTTTGTTCCATTTCCATTGTCTCATTTTAGTCACAGGTTATTATTTTTGTTAATGTAATTCCATTAATTTTGATATTTTAAAAACCTGAAATATAAATAAATCATTTATGACTTAACACATAACAATAGAATTATAATTGCTTTAAAATTTTGAATGGAAATTTCTGTTCTCATAATACTGAAGAGAAAAAAAAGAAAATTAGAATGCAGTTTCTTTTGCTAAAACAATTTTTAGTGTGCCTCAGATTTTTCTAAACAGGAGTATAAACATAACATTTAAAATTAATATAGGTAACTACATCAGAATCTACATGTATGATGACACTAAAAAAAACATAACTAGAAATGCTTTGTTGGAAACAAATACTTTATATCACCCTCAATTAAAAGCATTTCAATCCCTGTGAAAATTGAAAAACTCATAAAGATCTCAAAGTTGTGAAACACGAGTTGAGATTATTTGAACAGGAAGATGTTAACGGAAAATAGTTGTTAGCGTATAACAACCACCTCATCATCCTTCTGTACAGTTTTTTCAGAGGCTGGAAATTTTTGCACAAAAATTTGTTCAGGAGTTAAAATGACACCTTTAATATACTTTGTTTTTAAGATTGTGCTTAAAGAATAGATAAAATTATATTTGATTATTTTGTGTGGTTTGTTTTTAATATTACTTAAAAATATATATATATATACATACTTTCAGTATTTTGCTTTGCTATAGCAATCACTGTAGCACCACTTCCTCCTGCCTCAGAATCATTTCATGAAGTGTAAAATCTACAAAGCTATCTAGTCTACTGTGGCAGAACTTTTGTTTTTAAAAGCTAACTTTTTCTGAAGTTATACTTGATACACAATATTATGTCAGTTTCAGGTGTACAACATAGTGATTTGACAGTATTATACAATATTCCGTTGTATTAATGTACTACATCTTCTTTATCCATTCATCTATTGATGGGCACTTTTTTGCTTCCGTATCTTGGCTGTTGTAACTAATGTAGAAATAAACATAGTAGTGCATATATCTTTTTGAATCAGTGATCTGGTTTTCTTTGAGTAAATTTCTAGAAGTGGAATTGCTGGGTTATATGATGTTTCTATTTTTATGTTTTTGAGGAACCTCCTTACTGCTTTCCACAGTGGCTATACCAATTTGTATTCCCACCAACAGTATAGGAGGATTCCCTTTTCTCCACATCCTTGCCAACACTTGTTATTCTTGGCTTTTGGATTGTAGCCATTCTGACTGGTATGAGGGGATATCTCAGTTTGGTTTTGATTTGCAGTTTCCTGATGAGTAGTGATGTTCAGCATCTTGGCATCTTTTCATGTGCCTGTTGACTGTCTGTATGTCTCTTTGGAAAAATGTACATTCAGGTCCTCAGCCCATTTTTTAAATTTATTTTTTATTTTTTATTTTTGTGTTGAGTTGTATGAGTCCTTTATGTATTTTGGATATCAACCCCTTATCAGATAAATCATTTACAAATATATTCTCCCATACAGTAGGTTGCCTTTTTGTTTTGTTGATGGTTTCCTTTGCTGTGCAGAAGCTTTTCTGTTTGATGTAGTCCTGCTTGTTTATTTTTGCTTATGTTTCCATTGTCCAGGGAGGTTTATCAAGAAAAAAATTACTAATGCTGGTGTTTAAGAGATCACCTGCTTTCTTCTATGAGTTTTATGGTTTCATGTCTTACATTTAGCTGTGTAATCCATTTTGAGTTTATTTTTGTGTTTGTTATAAGACAGTGATCCAGTTTCAGTCTCTTGCATGTAGCTTTCCAGTTTTCCCAGCACACTTTATTGAAGAGACTGTCTTTTCTCCATTGTATATTCTGCTTTCTTTGTCATATAGCAATTGACCATTTATGTGTGGGTTTATTCCTGGGCTCTTGTTCTGTTCATTCATCTATATATCTATTCTTGTGCCAGTACCATACTGTTATAATCACTGCAGCTTTTTACTGTAGCTTTTTACTGTAGCTTGAAATCAGGGAGCATGATACCCCCAGCTTTGTTCTTTCTCAAGTTTGCTTTGGATACTTGGGGTCTTTTGTGATTCCATCCAAATTTGAGGATTACTTACTCTAGTTCACTGAAAAATGCCGTTGGTATTTTGATAGGGATTGTGTTGAATCTGTAGGTAAGTTTGGGCAGTATGGCCATTTGACAGTATTTTTCCTATTCATGAGCATGGAATAGCTTTCCATTTATTTATCATCTTCAGTTTCTTTCATCAGTGTCTTACAGTTTCAAAGTCTTACAGGTCTTTCACCTCCTTGGTTAGATTTATTCCTCGGTATTTTATTCTTTTTGATGCAATTTTAAGTGGAATTGTTTTCTTGATTTCTCTTTCTGCTAGTTTGTTATTACTATATAGAAATGCAACAGATTTTTATATGTTGGTTTTATATCCTGCAATTTTGCTGAACTCATTTATCAGTTCTAAAAGTTTTTTGGTGGAGTCTTAGGGTTTTCTATGTATAGTATCATTCATCTACAAATAGTGACAGTTTTACTTCTTAGCAATTTCAATACCTTTTATTTCTTTTTCTTGTCTGATTGCTGTGGCTAGGATTTCCAGTACTATGTTGAATGTAAGTGGTAAGAGTTGGCATCATTGTCTTGTTCCTGATCTTAAAAGCTTTCATCTTTTCACCATGAGTATGATGTTAGCTGTAGGTTTGTCATATATGATCTTTATTATGTTGAGGTATTTTTACCCCTGTACTCACTTAGTTGGTTTTTTTTTTTTACCATGAATGGATGTTGAATTTTGTCAAATGCTTTTCAGTATCTGTTGAGGTGATCATATGGTTTTTATCCTTTTGATAATGTGGTATATCACATTGATTGATTTAGAGATACTGACCCATCCTTATATCCCTGGAATGAATCGCACTTGATGATGATGAATAATCCTTTCGATGTGTTTTTTAATTAGGTTTCCTTATATTTTGTTTAGGACTTTTCCATCTGTGTTCAGTATATGGGTCTGTAATTTTCTTTTTTTGTTGTGTCTTTGTCTGGTTTTGGTATTGGAGTGACGTTGACCTCCTAGAATAAGTTTGAAGTATTCTTTCCTCTTCTTTTCTTGAAATACTTTAAGAAGGATAGGTATTAGCTTTACTCTAAATGTTTGGTAGAATTCAGCTGTGAGGCCATCTGGTAATGGACTTTTGTTGGGAGGCTTTTGATTACCAGTTCAATTTTATAACTAGTAATTAGTCTCTTCAACCTACTGTTTCTTCCTGGATCAGTCTTGGAAGAATGTTATATTTCTAGGAGTTTATCCATTTCTTCTAGGTTGTCTAATTTATTAGCATATAATTTTTCATGTAATACTATTTCTGTGGTGTTGGTTGTAACTTCTTTTTCCTTTCCCTTTTTTATTTGTGTCCTCTCTCTTTCTTGATAGATGTGGCAAAGGGTTTGTCTAGTTTATCTTGTCTAAAACCAGCTCTTAGTTTCAATTGATTTTTTTTCAGTTTCTTAGTCTCCATTTCATTTATTTCTGCTCTGATCTTTATTATGTCCTTCTACTAACTGTGGGCTTTGTTCTTGTTTTTGTAGTTCTTTAGTTGTAGGATTATATTGTTTTTTTGAGATTGTTCTTGTTTCTTGAGGTGGGCCTGTATTGGTCTAACTTCCCTCTTAGAAACACTTCTGCTGTGTTCCACATATTCTGAACTGTTGTGTTTCCAATTTCATGTCTCCATGTATTTTTTTACTTCCTCTTTGATCTGTTTATTGATCCATTGAGTATTTAGAAGCATGTTGTTTAGCCTCCTGTTTAGCCCCCATGTGTTTGTGTTTTTTTCCTGTTTTTTTTTTGTAATTGATTTCTAGTTTCATACTGTTGTTGTCCAAAAAGATGCTTAATATGATTTCAGTCTTTCTAAATTTATTGAGATTTATTTTATGACCTAATAAGTGATCTGTCTTGGAAAACATTCCATGTTCACTTGGGAAGAATGTGTATTCTGTTACCTGAAGAAAACAAGACCCCTGATTCAAAAAGACATATACCCCCCTATGTTTATCACAGCATTATTTACAATAGCCAATATATGGAAGCAACCTAAGGGTCCATCAGTAGATGAATGGATAAAGAAGTGGTACATATACACAATATATTATTATTCAGCCATAAGAAGAAAAAAAATCCTACCATTTGCAACAACATGGATGGAGCTAGAGGATATTATGCTCAGTGAAATAAGCCAGGTGGAGAAAGACAGTACCAAATGATTTCACTCATTTATGAAGTATAACAGCAAAGCAAAACTGAAGGAACAAAACAGCAGCAGACACACAGACTCCAAGAAGGGACTAGTGGTTACCGAAGGGAAGGGGTTGAGAGGGTGGGTGGGGAGGGAGGGAGAAGGGGATTAAGGGACACTATAGTTAGCACTCACAATATAGGCAGGTGACAGGGAAGGTAGTACAGCATGAAGAAGACAAGTAATGACTCTATAGCATCTTACACTGATTGACAGTGATTACAAAGGAGTGGGGATGACTTGATAATATGGGTGAATGTTGAAACCACATTGTTGCTCAAGGGAAACCTTAAGATTGTATATCAATGAATCCTTAATTAAATTTTAAAAATGTATATTCTGCTGGTTTTGGGTAGAATGTTTTGTATATATTTGCTAGGTGCTTCTGGTCTGTCAATCAGTGCTACTGGTTCCTGTTGATTTTCTGTCTAGGTGATCTATCTGTTGATGTAAATTGGATGTTAAATTCCTCTACTATTATTGTGTTACTGTTAATTTATCCCTTTAGGTCTGTTTGTATTTGCTTTACATATTTAGATGCTCCTATAATGGATGCATAGATATTTATAGTTGTTATATCCCCTTGTTAGGTTGATCCCTTTATCATTATGTAGTATGATACATATTCTTGGTCTCTTGTTAGTTTCTTTGTTTTGAATTCTGTTTTGTCTAAGTATTGCTACTCCTGCTCTTTTTCACTTTTATTTCCCATTGTTCACTTTTTAGTCTATATGTGTCCTTACGTTTAAAGTGAGTCTTGTAGGTAGCCTATAGATGGATCTTGTTTCTTTATCTATTCAGCCACTCTATATCTTTTGATGGAAGCAAATAGTTCATTTACATTTAAGGTAGTTATTGATAGGTATGTACTCATTGCCATTTTGTTGATTGTTTTTTGGTTGTTTTTGTAGTTCTCTTTCCTTTCTTCCTCTCTTGCTCTCTTCCCTTGTGATTTAATAATTGTCTTTATAGTGTTATGCTTGGGTTCCTTTGTCTTTATTTCTTGTGTATCTGTTACAGAATTTAGGTTTGTGGTTACCATAAGGTTCATATATAGCTTCCTATATATATAATTTCAAACATATTCTAAAAGTACTTATTTATTATTATATCCCCCTCCAATTTTTATTTATATGATATAATTTACATCTTTTATTTTGTGTATCTCTAGGCTAATTGTGTGTGCAATTGATTTTCCCGCTTTTGTCTTTTGAACATCATACTCACTTTGTGAGTGTTTGGTCTACTACCTTTACTGCAGGTTTGTTTTCCTTTATGAAAAACATTTAAATTTAAAAACATTTACATCTAAAGAAGTCCCTTTAACATATTCTGTAAGACTGTTTGAATGGTGATGAATTCTTGTAACCTTTGTTTATCTGGAAAACTTTTAATCTCTCCTTCAACTCTGAATGATAACCTTGCTGGGTAGAGTATTCTTTGTTTTAGATTTTTTAGCACTTTGAATATTTCATGCCACTCCCTTCCAGCCTGTAAAGCTTCTGAAAAATCTCTCGTAGGTGATTGCAGTTTTCTTACTGCTTTTAAGATTCTGTCTTTATCTTTAATCTTTGCCATTTTTATTACTATTTGTCTTGGTGTGGGCCTCTTTGGGTTCATCTAGTTAGGGGCTCTCTGCACTTCCAGGACCTGGATGTTTGTTTCCTTCCCCAGGTTGAAGAAGTTTTCAGCAATAGTTTCTTCAAGTAAACTTTCACCTCTTTCTCCTGCTCTTCTTCTGAGACCCCTATAATTTGGATATTATTTTGTGTATAGTTGTCACAGAGCTCTCTTAGCATCTTCTTGTTTTTAGAATTTTTTCTCTCTCTTCCTCAGCTTGGTTACTCTCCACTCCCCTATCTTCCAGCTCACTGATCTGTTCTTCTGTATCCTCTAGTCTACTATTATTTCCCTACATTGTATTTTTCATTTCAGCTCTTCTATTCTTTAGTTCTGACTGGTTCTTTTTTATTTTCTATTTCTTTGTCAAAGTCCTTGAGAGTTTCTATTTTCTATTTCTATTTTCTGTTTCTTTGTTGACTTGAGATTGTCTATTTTTTTGCCCCAGGTCAGTGAACATCTTTATGACAAATACTTTGAATTCCTTATCAGGTAGATTGCTTATCTGCATTTCATGTATCATTTTCTGATGTTTTGTCCTGAGAAGATACTCTGACTCCTCATTTTATCTGGTTCTCTGTGATTATTTATATGTGTTAGATTAGCTATGGCTTCTGATCTTGAAAGAAGTGGCTTTATTTAGTAGGTGTCCTGTAGTGTCCAGAAGCACAAAACCCCTGCTCACCAGACCAGCTGCACCAGGAGAGTTTCCTGGTGTAGTTGGGCCATGACCACTGTGGGATGGCCAAATCCCACTGCTATGCCTCAGTGTACAATGCCTGGTTATTCTACAGTGTGTTGTGGGTGGGGCCACCCTCTGCCTGACTGCTCACAATAGCCAACTAGTGCTAGGCTGGGTTTGTTTAGTGGGGCTGAGCAGGTGGGGCAGATGGAGTGTTTCAGATCTGGTTTGCACAAATGTCTGGTTATAGGGCTGCAAGAGGGCTGAAAAGTGCTGCTCGCTGCCCTTTCTTCAGAGAGATCATCCTCAGCTCCCCACCCCTCTGGCACATTTCTCAAGGCTAACTAATCTCCTTTCAAACTGTTTCTTCTGTGGATCAACAGAGCTTGCCAGCTCTCTACAAGCAGAAATTTAGCCTTCCACCACCCTCCAGCTCTCCCTGGTGTCCAGCCCCATTAGTTTTCAAAGCCCAATATTATGGGGATTGATCTTCCGGGAGCAGGTCTACAGGGCCAAGTGTGCTGGGTTCCTAAGCATTTTTCTCCTCCCCACTCCTTTCCTCTGTTCCCCCAACTTGTGGGTTGGGATGGAGGAAGAACTTGAATCCTAATCTATCACAGACCTGCCCCTTTACCCTTAATGTGGCCTTCTCTTTTTTGACATGTGTAGGTCTGTTCTGTTAGTCTTCAGGTCATTTTCAGAGTTAGTTGTATTATATTTAGTTGCTTCTTTGGTGTGTTTATGTGGAATGAGACTATTAGCAGTGACCCCTTATTCTGCCATCTTCCTCCACTCTCAATAGCTAACATTTTTTGATTGCTTACTCTGTGTGGACCACTTTTCTAAGTGCATTTCCTTTATTTTCTCCTCTGATTCTAACCTTAAATCAATGAGATAGACTGTTGTTATCCTTTTGTTTTCAGATGAGATTTATGAGGCTTAGCTGATAAATGAATTTTTCCAGTCATCTGGGGTAGAAATGACCTTCTCTATTAATTATAGGGGAAGTTCATTACACCTGCTCACTACAGTGATGTTGTGGATGAACGTTCCATCATCAAACTCTGTGGTTATCCATTGTGTCAGAAGAAGTTGGGAATTGTAAGTAACTTTTTAAAAATACAGGATTTTTAATTTTATATTTAGCAAAATATTTTGTAGAAAGAACAAGAAATGAAACAGAAGTTATGAACTAATGACATGTTAGCCAAAGACATGTAGATGACTTAATCTTGTAATATAAAGTTCATGTTTACTACTTCAATTATTTTGTAAGCTGTACTTTCTCTTTCTTTAGGTACCAAAACAGAAATATAAAATTTCTACCAAAACCAACAAAGTCTATGATATTACTGAAAGAAAGGTAAGTTTAAATGTTATTTTCAATGTGTTAGTTATCTTTTAATATACTAAATGGAATTCTAAAAGTGTATAGAATCTTACCTTTTAGAAGATAGCCATTTTAAAAGTTTTTTATTCATATATATTTCATTCAAAGTGTTAAAATCTCTTTGCTTACACTTTAAGTAATACTTGAACATTTAAAATTAAAAGTGCATATTCACAAATTCAGGCAAGTAAGGCATGGAACAGAATAGAAGGCCAGAAACAGATTGACCACATGTATGGTCACTTGATATTATATGACAACAGGAGTATTACAGATCAGTGGGGAATTGGATTCTTTAGTAAATAGTACTGGCACAATTAGTTATCCATATGGAAAAAAATGAAAATTGACCCCTATATCAGGGTACATAGAAAGATCAGTTTTAGGTAGGTTAAAGACCTAATGTAAAAGACAAACCTTTTTGAAAACAGTATATGAGGATATCTTTCTAAACTTGGACTAGAGGGAACTAAAAAAAATAGAAAAGTATAGACTAGCAAGGAGAAATTGATACATTTTCCTACATTAAAATTAAAAACATTTCCTCATCAGAAGTTTCCAAGAAAATGAAAAGATAAGCTATAGATCAGAAGCTACTAATCACGTATAAGTGACTATGGAGTCATAACTAGAATATATAAGAAGAAGACAAAACAACCTCATAGAAAAATATTGCAAAAGGAACTTGAATGGCTAATGAGTACATGAAAAGATGCTAAACTTTATCAGTAATCAGGGAAATAGCAAATAAAAACAATTGATTTATGTTTTCACAGACCCCAAATTAGCAAAATTATAAAAATCTGACATTAGGAACTCTTTATACTAGCAGTCCAATAAAAATTGGTACCTTTTTGAGAAACTTTGTCATTATCTAGTAAAGTCAAATTAGCATGTTCCTTGTCACCAAGCCTTTTTATTCTGTGATATATATCCTAAGAAAATTGTTGCCCATGTGCACAACTACAAATGAATGTGAATGTTCCTAGTTGGAAAAAAAGTGTGGCATATACATAGAGTGGAGTATCATCCAGCTTTAAAAGGAAGAAAATTTTGATATGCTACAACATCAATGAACTTTGAAGACATGCTGAGTGAAATGAGCCCACACAAAAGGGCGAATATTACAGTTCCACTTACATGAGGTAGTACCTAGAGTAGTCATATTCACAGAGACGAAAGTAGAATGGTGGTTATCAAAGAGGACAGAAATGGGGAATTATTATTTAGTGCATAGTTTCACTTTTGCAAGATGAAAGGAATTCTGGAGATGAATGGTGATGATGGTTGCGCAACGGTGAGAAGGTACTTAATGTTACTGAACTGTACAAGTTAAAAATGGTTAAGATAGTAAAATTATTTTGTCACAGTTATTATTTTAAAAATGTTCATGACATTGTAGTGATAGCAAAAAAAAATAAAAACTCAGTGGTCCATAATAAGTCAATAAATACTTATGCAGTGGCATGTAATACACAGTGTAAATGAATAAGCTGCAACTATATGAATCTCAAAAATATATGGAACAAAAGAAAACAAGAATACATAACAATATGATTCCTTCAGACAAAGTTTAAAAATAGGCAAACTGAATGCTATATTTTGTAAGGATATGTATATAAGGTAACAAAACTAAAGTGAAGCAAGGGAGTTACACAAAATTTATGATAGTGGTTGTCGCTGGGGAATATGGAGAGTGGTGCTGTCAAGGATGAGGCATTAGAGGCCTTAAAAGGTTTTAAGTGTCTTCTTGGGCGGTAGATTCATGGGTTTTAATGTTTTCTTTGAACTACATATTTATGTTTTGTACTCTCTTCTGTATGTAAGTTGTGTTTCACAGTAAGGAAAAAATAATTTGCTAGTTTAAAAATGTTGTTTTCAGTGTTTTTGCAGCAATTTTTGCTATAAAGCATCTAAGCTTTTTGAAGCACAAATTCCTAAAACTCCGGTATGGGTTCGAGAAGAAGAAAGGTAATTTAAATCATTATGTGTACATTTGTTCATATATTCTGATAAATTCTTTCTGCTTTTTGAGATATGCAGAGAGTAAGTCTTGTTTTCTATAGAATATGAATTGTGAAACGGTTATATTTGAAGCATAACTATTAAGGATTTTATACTTAAAATCAGAAAATTAATACATACAAATGTTATTTGTTTGCTATTATAGCTTTAATCATAAAACTGAATTTTGTTTCCTGCTGTGGTAATTATTTCTATTACTCCTATTAATATAATAACCCTGTAGTAAAAATGTAAAATTTTTCTCAGAAGATACTGGACCTTATGATCCAACTGAACTCAGTTTGTTGTTAGAAAACTATGTTCTAAGATTAAAAAGTTCAGGTTGCTAATTCATTCAGCCTTTATTAAAAATCAGTACAGTATTTTATGCATTTAAAGAAATCTCATTCAGAGAGTCATTTTTAGCAAAAATATTTATGGACATTCCTGGGGTTTTTGCCTTTCAGGAAGTGTTCAAGCATTTACAACATTTTAGTAGTTGTGAATTTGAGAGAAAATTTATTATTGAGCAAATGACATAATAATATTAAAATGGTAACAAAACTATTATTATGTATTTAAACTGTATTGTTTAGAAATTCCAAACAAAGTCTTAAATTAATGAGATAATATCCCAGTAATTCTTTTTTGATAGAGAATATTATAACACAAGGCAGTGTTATTTGTAATAAAATATTTAGGATCTATGCTAAATAAACTTAATGATATAAATGTAGTAACATAATGTTAACTGAAGATTTCTGCTTAAAAAAATCTCATAAAGTCTTACATGATGTACAAAGGTGTAGTTTCCACTAGTATCAATTGTGCTGATGGCTGCCTTTGTTGGCAGACACCTTTGCCTGCCTGTCCAATCCTGTGTGGTTTAGAATATGTAGAATATAGTACGCTATGACCTTGTTAATTGCAATTGACATAATGAAGACTAAATTATTATCACTTCTCCACCAGCTTGTCTGACTGTCTTGTTTGGAGGACAGAAGACTGTAGCATCATCCAGGGTGACTGGGAAGCTAGGAGCACCTTTTTAACTCACTCTTTTTTTCTCTTTTCTTTGTATTCTTTCACCAGAGTTGCCTATTGATTGCCTCCACAGCCCTACCACAACAGTATACCTCATTGTTCACTAAGACCAGTGTTTCCTTAAGTTATCCTTAATTTCACTTCCAAAGATATCTTCTCTGCTTCTTAAATTTAGACCTCTAATTTAGCCCATCTTCGTATCTGCATTAACTGCTTCAAAACCATTTACCTAACCACCTTTTCTGTCATCTCTATTTTCTTTAAACATAGTTATTAGTACTTCCCTTAGCTAATTTAAAATAGTTCTTCCCTCTAACCTTTTCCTAAAATCTTGCCTTCCTATGTTCAGTACACTCACTTTTTCCCAAAACATGAAGTGCTATTACTTTATAGTTCTTGAAATTCTACTTTACTTATATATGCCCTTTGCTACCTCACTAAAAAAGGAAAATGAAAATGGCCTTGGTTTCCCTAGTCTAAACTAAACAATTTAATTTATATTTCAAATATGAATTGTACTCAGTACCCAGCGGGCCGCACAAACCTGTGCATGCACATATGTATAAAACCCAACCTGTGAGTTTAAATCTAACTGGGAAGACAAACACATGTGAATGAAACAAATTTGTACTATTCTAATGGGGACCTGTAATGTAAGTTAGTGAGGATTAAGACATTGCATAATGAGAAGGCTGTAAACAGAGGTAAGAAAATAAACTCTAAGAGTTGGTTGGGCTGTTAGAAGTAGATAGAACATTAGCTCACTTGAAACAAGGGGTGTGTTTTAGGAAAAAATAGAAGATAATGATAGGTAACAAGGAGCCAGGCTAAGTTTGGTATATTGTCAAGTACGGGGAGTCATCAAATGCCTTTGAACAGAATTTAATCTGGTTTGGTGTACAAGATAAATTAAAGAAGAAAGGATCATAATTAAAGAGCTGAAAAGATCCTTAGAAATATTTAATCCAATCTCATTATCAGACAAACTCAGAAAGGTTAAGTTTATTTCTTAAGCTAGTGACAGTTCTGGACAAGACCAGGGATCTATCATTATGTTCCACTTGACTGGAAGTAACCCCTAAGTAATCTCTAAGTAAGTAAATACACATTTGTCACATTGTATACTGTGTAACTGTAGCTTTATTTATGTATAAAACATCAATATAAAACTATCAGTATTTTTTATAACTGCATGCATCAGTACTACCTTAATTTCTAATTCTTAGGGACAAGGATTATGTCAGTTTATTTAATGAACCCACTAGAGGTCACTGTGTCTTCATAGAATGTTTGATATTTTTGTGTGCTAATGATCAGAATTGTAGAATGTATTTTTTTTAAACATTGTCTAGCTGTTGCACATATAAGCTCTACAAAAATGAGATTTTTAAAAAAGACTATTCACACATGGTATGGGATATAACATTCAGAACCTGCCTTCTTTTAAAGGGGAAAAAAATGGCTTCTTTTAAATGGCAGCACTTAGTAGTTAGTGCAGAGATACTTGTATTAACTTAAAATGGGTCATGATAAACTGTATTATAATCATTAGTAAAATTAATCATTTTTAATTAATACTAAATGGTTTACTAAAAATCATAATTTTAAAATAAGAATACATTTTAAAATTCACTCAAAGAATTAGGTATTTTACTGCAATGACTTCCAAAATTTTTTATCACTATAGTAAAGGCATTTTACAGTATGACCCCTACATATATATAACTGAAGCAAAAGTTTTACTCAACAATGTTTTCCTCACTACATGAAAAGCCTCTGATATTTTCTGCTGTTACCTTTTGTCAAGTACTGATAGCATCCCATTTAATTGGTTGATCCTGTTCTGCAGTTTTAAGAGTACTGTTTTGTTGAATCTAGCTTAGGTTTTTAGTTTTATTATAGGAAACACCGTTATCAACACTAAGGCTCAGTTTCCTCATTTGTAAAATAGAAATTTGTATTTAACTCTTATTTCCCTTTAGTTCTGATGTTTTAGTTCTAAGTCAGTCAATCACTGCTACTATAGTAAAAGTTTTCTGATAAGGAAATGTCTTTATAACAATGAAAAAATTAAAATTATCAGCATAAGATTAGGGAAATTTATACTACCTTTTTAGGGGAATCTTATTTAAGAATTTAGGGTAAAAGTTACTGAGTTAAACAATTTGAACTTTTCAGTCTATAAAAATGAAGGCTGTTAAAGGATGGAATCACAATTTTTAAATTATGAAGAAAAACCAGGAATATTTTATAGTATGTCCAGAACAACTTGAAGTTTTTATCTTCAGATATACCATGATCTTACACTCCATTTGAAAATACAATATTGAATTTGTCTCAATTTGGTCTTTCTTACATTATTGTGAAAGTCAATAGAAATTTATTTACCAGATTCTAAAATACTAAAACCTATAGTGTCTCCTAAAATTTCTAAGATATTATTTTATACCATAGTAAGTTCACTGTCTCATTGGTAAAATGTATAAATGAATTTAAGGAAGATAGACAAATTGATGAATTCTAGGTCCATAATTCTGTTGAGGCTTTGGAGTTAGGGCCGTAGAGGTTTTCTAGTCCCTCATTTTTATTAAGGTATAAAAAAATAATGTAGAGTATATCCTTAGTGTCATGGAGAACAGCAGTGTTTCTCACAAAATGTCTCCTGATGCCCCGTCAGAGCCAAACATTGACCTACATGGACTGGGTTATGATGCAGTATGATGATTCTCATGTTGTGAACTAGACATTTTTCACCTACTTGGTAGCCAGAAACAGACCACATAGTTTTGTTCCTTTGAGACTGCTCATTTAGATAGTCATGCAGTGAATTGTGCTTTTAATTCTATTAGGTTGGCCGTAGGCTCTGACAAGTCATTGAAAGAAGAAAATTTCTTGAATTATAACCTGAAAAATCAGAAGTTAAACTAAGAAGGAAGGACAAATGTTGAGAATCAAATTACGAGTTGAAACATCAAAAGAAGTGAATGGTTAATGCTGACAGAGCTAAAAGCGCCATCATGTGGCTCAGAGTAGGGGATTTTCACACATGCTTCTTGGCAATAAACATAGTGTAATCTCAGAGGTGCGGAAGCCAAAAACCTCTACAGAACAACTTGTGTAACCTCTTCCTGAACAGCCACTTCTGTTGCTTGGTATACAGAATAAAAACTTTATGAAGCAGGTTTTAACATGTCTCAAATTGTATTTGAAAATTTTCAACGTAATAGGTAATTGCTGCTTTGTCACTTTATTTGTAATACACATTCGAAGTGATACACACACCTACATGCATACATACACAGGATTTTTTAGCATAAGTTACCCCTAGTTTTAGATTTACTTTGCCAAAATTATGATTAATCTTCTTATTTATACTTTAATGAAAATAATATGAAAGTGTTTATGAAGAACAAGCTTGAAAGTATGCTTTAACTAACATGGTTACTTATTTTTATTTTTTAAATTGATCTTACCTCAATTTGAAAATTGTACCAGGCCAGTATACACTTTGAAGGGAAAGGAAGATACTTGGAATGAGGAGAAATGGCACTCTTAACAAACGAAAAGCTTTTAAATTTCATCTAAGAAGGATAGAAAAGAAAGCGATGTGATTTGTTGGTTCATTCTTTCTATAATAGCTCATAGCAAAACAAGTTTAATATTGGACCTTTTGTTTAATACTTCATTAAACACAAATCTAATTTATTTCACTGTCAATACCATTCATTCTCCATTTTATAGGTTAGGAATCAGGGAGAGTATTAAGATTACACATAAAACATCTAGAAACAATGCACAGTGTAGTTCTCTTTAAATGGAGTGAAAAAAACAAAGGAGAGGAAAATAGTAGTTTGAAAAGTATATTGAGTTCCAGTGAGAGGAGTTAAGCAAAGGTAGTATCCTCATAGCGTTTTGGGGAATCT